GGGCCCCTTGGTACCAATTGAGCATCGTTGCAACGTCACAGCGTTCACGAGTCTACGGAAACCGCGGCAGACCAAACCAGATGAAAGTGCGCATTCAGCGTCTGCTCTGCCGATAATGCAAGCGTAGAAGAAGAAATGTGCTGTTTACCTGTGCAAAGAAAGAAACAACAAAATAAAAATGTCTGAGGACTTCAGTGTTGAGGAAGAGCATGAGTTCTTTGCCGAGCTGAATGCGCACTTTCGTCTGGTTTGGTCTGCCGCGGTTTCCGTAGACTCGTGAACGCGCTTTCAGAAAATCCTATACACTACTGTTTATGCTCTAAAAACATTCTAAATGACTTCGTTTCAAGTAAATTATGGACGCTACCCACTCAGGACACTTGGAATACATTGGACGAGCAGTATGTAGGAATATTGTGTTGGGCTCACTGGATTGTGTGCTGAGCTGTGCTAGGGTTCTTTCTTACCTTTTCCTCCTTAGACTCCAGTCCTGACGAGCCTCCAGCTGGTTCCAATTGGACGCAATCAGGGAGCAGTATTTAGAGGAGTGGATTCCCTGGGACGGACGCCAGTCGGTTAAAGTTCCACACAGTGGTAACCTACCTGCTAGCTCTCCTAAGACTGAACAAGATAGTTTAGGCTTAAGCTTACCTCCGTGTCCTCCTTCTCTCTCCTAGAAGCCTTGCTGTTTCCTAGCCGGTCCTCCTCCCAGTCTTCCTGGATCCTTCCCTCCACTGCTCACCTGCCTGTCCACCCTCTGGAGCTCTCAGGTAGAAGCCCTCCATCTCCGCCAAAGACTCAATCTCTGTGGGCTCATCCAACCTCCCCTCCAGCTGCTCCGCTCTCCAAGAACTGTAAGGAATCAGCATCTTCTCTAAATAACTCAGATCCTCCTGCCTGCATCTAACTTATATCTCTCTCCGCGCAGTTCCAGATGAAGCCGCAGTAATCCGAACCACCACGCCAGGCTGAACTTAACTCTGTAAAACTTTTCAATAAACAATCTAAAAACTGCTTCCACTCGCATTGTGTCTGGGCCAGAGTTTACCTTTGAATCATGTCAGAACCGACTGGCCAGCATGACTCTGCAGCACAACTGCGAACCGCTTTGTCCGAACAAGGAGTTCTCCTTGGCCGCCATGATTCGGCTATCTCAACAATAGCTCAACAGCAAACCTCTATCATGCAGACTCTTAGCCAGTTGTCACTCCAAGTACAGGAACTTACTTCCAAGTTGCCTTCTCCTCCTCCTCCTTCTAGACTTAACCTATCTGTTGGTTCTGCTGCCTCTTCCAGGTCTCCCATCTCCAGAGACGTTGTTTTGCCCACTCCTGAGCCATACGCCGGCGACCTGAACAAAAGCAAGGGATTCTTGCTACAGTGCTCCCTAGTGTTCGGGCGGTCTCCGCAGTCATTTCCGGATGACGCCAGCAGGATCTCCTACGTCATTGGCCTGCTCAGAGACAAGGCTTTAAGGTGGGCTGAAGCAATAATCGATGATTCTAACATCTATGAGTACACCTTTGGAGAATTTCTAGATTTATTTAAACAGACATTTTGCTTACATGTTGGTGAGGAAGAAGCAGCCAAAAAATTGTGGACTCTAAAACAAGGAAACAAGTCAGCAGCAGAATTGGCAATCGAATTTCGTACTCTTGCAGCAGAATCCGGTTGGAACGAGACAGCCCTCAAGGGGGCGTTCCAACATTCTCTAAGTGAAAAGCTAAAAGATGAACTGGCCTGCCGAGAGGAACCAGAAACCCTGGACCAGTTAATTAATCTCGCCATCCGGATTGGCAATAGACTCAGAGAAAGAAACCGTCAGCGTAATGTTGCTCCATCACACCATGCTTATGCTATGGCACCTGATCCTCAGCCTCAGCCTCAGCCTCGCCCCCCGTCTCCTGAACCCATGCAGATCGGAAGAGCTCGGCTCTCACCTGAGGAACGCCAACGGCGGTTGGCATCTGGCTGCTGTCTGTATTGTGGTCACCCAGGTCATTTGATTTCCACCTGTCCGGTTCGCCCAAAAGCCTTTGCCCGTCAGTAAATCTGGGGGTGCTGACGGGCAAAACCACGATTCAAAACAACCTCCGCCTAACTATTCATTCGTCCATCTGCTTCGATCGTAAAAGCCTCCCCGTGCTCTCCCTGGTGGATTGTGGTTCCCAACAGAATCTTATAAGCCCAGATCTTGTTCACCAATACAAGATTCCAGTTCAAAAACTCCCAACTCCAATTTTTGTGTCTGCCTTAGATGGTAGTGCTCTCAAGACCATAACTCATCAGACTGTCCCTCTTCAGTTTGTGTCTCTAGGCAACCATCACGAACAGATATCATTTCTAGTTTTTCCCACCAAGAACTCCCCAGTGGTTTTGGGCTACCCCTGGTTAATTAAACACAACCCCCAAATTAACTGGTCTCTTTCCCGCCTTGAGTCCTGGAGCCCTGAGTGCTCTAATAGCTGCCTCCGCTCTGCTCTCCCTCCTCAGAGTTCCATTCCCAATCCTCAGCAACCGCCAGCTGACCTCTCTAAGGTCCCACCTGATTATCACGATTTACAACGCGTCTTCAGTAAAGATTTAGCCCTCTCTTTGCCTCCTCATCGGCCCTATGATTGTCCCATCAATCTTCTTCCAGGCGCCCCACTGCCCTCTGGCCGATTATACAACTTGTCTAGACCTGAACGTCAGGCCATGGAGAACTATATAAACAGTTCTCTCGAAGCAGGTATCATCCGCCCCTACTCATCTCCAGTTGGGGCTGGTTTCTTCTTTGTCGAGAAGAAGGACAAAACTCTCCGCCAATGTATTGATTATCGGGACCTAAATAAAATCACGGTCAAGAACAAATACTCTCTTCCGCTCATATCAGCTGCTTTTGAACCCGTAAGCCAGGCCACCGTTTTCACCAGGCTCGACCTCCGAAATGCCTACCACCTGGTTCGTATTCGGGAGGGAGATGAGTGGAAAACTGCTTTCAAGACTCACATTGGTCATTTCGAATATCTGGTCATGCCTTTTGGCCTTTCTAATGCCCCAGCAGTTTTTCAGGCCCTCGTAAATGATGTTCTGAGAGACTTTCTAAATATCTTCGTTTTTGTTTACATAGACGATATCCTGATCTTTTCCAGAGATCTGGAGGAACATAAGGTCCACGTAAGAAGGGTTCTCCACCGTCTGCTAGAAAATCGCCTGTATGTCAAAGCAGAGAAGTGTGAATTTCATGTTTCTTCAACCACTTTTCTTGGTTTTGTTTTTGAGGGTGGACAGGTGAAGACGGACCCAGCCAAGATCAAGGCAGTGTTGGACTGGCCAACCCCTGAGACCAGAAAACAGCTCCAGCAGTTTCTTGGGTTTGCCAACTTCTACAGGAGGTTCATAAGAAACTTCAGTGTCATAGCCGCTCCTCTCTCTGCCTTAACGTCCACCAAAAGACCTTTCATCTGGACCCCTGAAGCACAGAAGGCCTTCTCCGAGCTAAAGACCCTATTCTCAAGGGCTCCCATCCTCATCCATCCTGATTCCACGGCTCAATTCATCATGGAAGTGGATGCGTCAGCTACCGGTGTTGGGGCTGTACTCTCCCAGCGGTCCCCAGCAGACAATAAGCTCCACCCATGTGCCTTCTTTTCAAAAAGATTCTCTCCTTCTGAGAGAAATTATGACATTGGGGACAGAGAGCTCCTAGCCATCAAGCTCTCACTGGAAGAGTGGAGGCACTGGCTCGAGGGCTCAGAACTTCCAGTGGTGGTTTGGACTGACCATAAAAATCTGTCCTACCTCAAAAATGCCAAGAGACTGAACTCCCGGCAATCCCGCTGGACCTTGTTCTTCTCTAGATTTAATCTAAACATCACTTATCGTCCTGGCTCCCGTAACATTAAGCCGGATGCCTTGTCCAGACAGTTTGCCTCTGATGATGTCTCCAAAACCCCTGAGCCGATCCTTCCACCATCCTGTGTGGTTGGGGGGCTTTCCTGGAACTTGGAGAAGGCCATTGAAGCAGCCTCGAAGGCCGATCCCGATCCTGGGAGGGGACCCCCCAACCGCCTTTATGTTCCGGCTAAGACCCGTTCACAGGCCATTCAATGGGCACACTCTTCTCGGTTCTCCTGCCACCCAGGGACAAGCCGTACTATTGGTTTGCTCCGCCGCTATTTCTGGTGGCCTTCTCTCAACAAAGATGTGTCGGAGTTTGTCTCAGCCTGCTCCACATGTGCTCGTGGAAAGAACCTTCACCGCCCTCCAGCTGGTCTCCTGCAACCTCTCTCTGTCCCTAACCGGCCTTGGTCGCATATTGCCCTGGATTTTGTCACTGGCCTTCCTGTCTCCGAAAATAAGACAGTTATACTGACAATCATCGACAGGTTTTCCAAAGCCTGCCACTTAATCCCTCTTAACAAGCTTCCATCTGCTGCTGTTACTGCTCGCCTCTTGTTTTCACATGTATTCAAACTTCACGGCATCCCCTTAGAAATTCTGTCAGACCGGGGTCCTCAATTTGTTTCTCGGGTCTGGAGAGACTTTTGCTCTATCTTGGGAGCCAAACCCCGCCTCAGTTCAGGGTTTCATCCCCAGACCAATGGGCAATGTGAGAGACTGAACCAGGAACTGGAAAACGCACTTCGTTGCGTCTGTTCCAACAACCCCTCCTCCTGGTGTACATATTTACAGTGGGTTGAGTATGCCCACAATTCTCACATTTCTGCTGCCTCTGGGTTGTCCCCTTTCGAAGCCTCTCTTGGCTATCAGCCATCCCTCATCCCCTCTTCTTTTCCAGACGCCATCATCCCCTCTGTGAAGGACCACATGAAGGCTTGCCGCCGGATCTGGGACCAGACCAGAGCTGCCCTGAACCGTACCGCTGCTCTCAACAAGAAGATCGCTGACCGCAAGCGTGTGCCTGCTCCAGTCTATTCCCCTGGGCAACAGGTCTGGCTCTCATCAGGACTGGGCAACAGGTCCCGTAAACTGTCTCCTAGGTTTTTGGGCCCTTTTCCTGTCCAAGCTGTCATCAGTCCTACCACTGTCCGTCTGAGGCTCCCTTCTCACCTTCGGGTCCATCCCGTTTTTCATGTTTCCCAAGTCAAGCCTGTGTCTTTCAGCCCGTTGTGCCCTCCGTCCAGACCCCCTCCACCCGCCCGGGTCGTTGACGGCCACCCTGCCTTCACTGTGCGCCGCATTGTGGATGTCCGCCCCCGGGGTCGGGGTTGCCAGTATCTGGTTGATTGGGAGGGTTATGGTCCGGAGCAGCGGTCCTGGGTTCCGCGCTCCTTCATTCTGGATCCCACGCTCATCTCTGACTTTGAGCGCCGTTCGGCGTCTTCTTCTACTCGTCCGCCAGGTGGCGTCCCTTGAGGGGGGGGGGGTACTGTTGGGCTCACTGGATTGTGTGCTGAGCTGTGCTAGGGTTCTTTCTTACCTTTTCCTCCTTAGACTCCAGTCCTGACGAGCCTCCAGCTGGTTCCAATTGGACGCAATCAGGGAGCAGTATTTAGAGGAGTGGATTCCCTGGGACGGACGCCAGTCGGTTAAAGTTCCACACAGTGGTAACCTACCTGCTAGCTCTCCTAAGACTGAACAAGATAGTTTTGACTTAAGCTTACCTCCGTGTCCTCCTTCTCTCTCCTAGAAGCCTTGCTGTTTCCAAGCCGGTCTTCCTCCCAGTCTTCCTGGATCCTTCCCTCGACTGCTCACCTGCCTGTCCACCCTCTGGAGCTCTCAGGTCGAAGCCCTCCATCTCCGCCAAAGACTCAATCTCTGTGGGCTCATCCAACCTCCCCTCCAGCTGCTCCGCTCTCCAAGAACTGTAAGGAATCAGCATCTTCTCTAAATAACTCAGATCCTCCTGCCTGCATCTAACTTATATCTCTCTCCGCGCAGTTCCAGATGAAGCCGCAGTAATCCGAACCACCACGCCAGGCTGAACTTAACTCTGTAAAACTTTTCAATAAACAATCAAAAACTGCTTCCTACTCGCATTGTGTCTGCGCCAGAGTTTACCTTTGAATCATGTCAGAACCGACTGGCCAGCATGACTCTGCAGCACAACTGCGAACCGCTTTGTCCGAACAAGGAGTTCTCCTTGGCCGCCATGATTCGGCTATCTCAACAATAGCTCAACAGCAAACCTCTATCATGCAGACTCTTAGCCAGTTGTCACTCGAAGTACAGGAACTTAGCTCCAAGTTGCCTTCTCCTCCTCCTCCTCCTAGACTTAACCTATCTGTTGGTTCTACTGCCTCTTCCAGGTCTCCCATCTCTAGAGACGTTGTTTTGCCCACTCCTGAGCCATACGCCGGCGACCTGAACAAAAGCAAGGGATTCTTGCTACAGTGCTCCCTAGTGTTCGGGCGGTCTCCGCAGTCATTTCCGGATGACGCCAGCAGGATCTCCTATGTCATTGGCCTGCTCAGAGACAAGGCTTTAAGGTGGGCTGAAGCAATAATCGATGATTCTAACATTTATGAGTACACCTTTGGAGAATTTCTAGATTTATTTAAACAGACATTTTGCTTACATGTTGGTGAGGAAGAAGCAGCCAAAAAATTGTGGACTCTAAAACAAGGAAACAAGTCAGCAGCAGAATTGGCAATCGAATTTCGTACTCTTGCAGCAGAATCCGGTTGGAACGAGACAGCCCTCAAGGGGGCGTTCCAACATTCTCTAAGTGAAAAGCTAAAAGATGAATTGGCCTGCCGAGAGGAACCAGAAACCCTGGACCAGTTAATTAATCTCGCCATCCGGATTGACAATAGACTCAGAGAAAGAAACCGTCAGCGAAATGTTGCTCCATCACACCATGCTTATGCTATGACACCTGATCCTCAGCCTCAGCCTCAGCCTCGCCCCCCGTCTCCCGAACCCATGCAGATCGGTAGAGCTCGGCTCTCACCTGAGGAACGCCAACGGCGGTTGGCATCTGGCTGCTGTCTGTATTGTGGTCACCCAGGTCATTTGATTTCCACCTGTCCGGTTCGCCCAAAAGCCTTTGCCCGTCAGTAAATCTGGGGGTGCTGACGGGCAAAACCACGATTCAAAACAACCTCCGCCTAACTATTCATTCGTCCATCTGCTTCGATCATAAAAGCCTCCCCGTGCTCTCCCTGGTGGATTGTGGTTCCGAACAGAATCTTATAAGCCCAGATCTTGTTCACCAATACAAGATTCCAGTTCAAAAACTCCCAACTCCAATTTTTGTGTCTGCCTTAGATGGTAGTGCTCTCAAGACCATAACTCATCAGACTGTCCCTCTTCAGTTTGTGTCTCTAGGCAACCATCACGAACAAATATCATTTCTAGTTTTTCCCACCAAGAACTCCCCAGTGGTTTTGGGCTACCCCTGGTTAATTAAACACAACCCCCAAATTAACTGGTCTCTTTCCCGCCTTGAGTCCTGGAGCCCTGAGTGCTCTAATTGCTGCCTCCGCTCTGCTCTCCCTCCTCAGAGTTCCATGCCCAATCCTCAGCAACCGCCAGCTGACCTCTCTAAGGTCCCACCTGATTATCACGATTTACAACGCGTCTTCAGTAAAGATTTAGCCCTCTCTTTGCCTCCTCATCGGCCCTATGATTGTCCCATCAATCTTCTTCCAGGCGCCCCACTGCCCTCTGGCCGATTATACAACTTGTCTAGACCTGAACGTCAGGCCATGGAGAACTATATAAACAGTTCTCTCGAAGCAGGTATCATCCGCCCCTCCTCATCTCCAGTTGGGGCTGGTTTCTTCTTTGTCCAGAAGAAGGACAAAACTCTCCGCCCATGTATTGATTATCGGGACCTAAATAAAATCACGGTCAAGAACAAATACTCTCTTCCGCTCATATCAGCTGCTTTTGAACCCGTAAGCCAGGCCACCGTTTTCACCAAGCTCGACCTCCGAAATGCCTACCACCTGGTTCGTATTCGGGAGGGAGATGAGTGGAAAACTGCTTTCAAGACTCACATTGGTCATTTCGAATATCTGGTCATGCCTTTTGGCCTTTCTAATGCCCCAGCAGTTTTTCAGGCCCTCGTAAATGATGTTCTGAGAGACTTTCTAAATATCTTCGTTTTTGTTTACATAGACGATATCCTGATCTTTTCCAGAGATCTGGAGGAACATAAGGTCCACGTAAGAAAGGTTCTCCACCGTCTGCTAGAAAATCGCCTGTATGTCAAAGCTGAGAAGTGTGAATTTCATGTTTCTTCAACCACTTTTCTTGGTTTTGTTTTTGAGGGTGGACAGGTGAAGACGGACCCAGCCAAGATCAAGGCAGTGTTGGACTGGCCAACCCCTGAGACCAGAAAACAGCTCCAGCAGTTTCTTGGGTTTGCCAACTTCTACAGGAGGTTCATAAGAAACTTCAGTGTCATAGCTGCTCCTCTCTCTGCCTTAACGTCCACCAAAAGACCTTTCATCTGGACCCCTGAAGCTCAGAAGGCCTTCTCCGAGCTAAAGACCATATTCTCAAGGGCTCCCATCCTCATCCATCCTGATTCCACGGCTCAATTCATCATGGAAGTGGATGCGTCAGCTACCGGAGTTGGGGCTGTACTCTCCCAGCGGTCCCCAGTAGACAATAAGCTCCACCCAAGTGCCTTCTTTTCAAAAAGATTCTCTCCTTCTGAGAGAAATTATGACATTGGGGACAGAGAGCTCCTAGCCATCAAGCTCTCACTGGAAGAGTGGAGGCACTGGCTCGAGGGCTCAGAACTTCCAGTGGTGGTTTGGACTGACCATAAAAATCTGTCCTACCTCAAAAATGCCAAGAGACTGAACTCCCGGCAATCCCGCTGGACCTTGTTCTTCTCTAGATTTAATCTAAACATCACTTATCGTCCTGGCTCCCGTAACATTAAGCCGGATGCCTTGTCCAGACAGTTTGCCTCTGATGATGTCTCCAAAACCCCTGAGCCGATCCTTCCACCATCCTGTGTGGTTGGGGGGCTTTCCTGGAACTTGGAGAAGGCCATTGAAGCAGCCTCGAAGGCCGATCCCGATCCTGGGGGGGGACCCCCCAACCGCCTTTATGTTCCGGCTAAGACCCGTTCACAGGCCATTCAATGGGCACACTCTTCTCGGTTCTCCTGCCACCCAGGGACAAGCCGTACTATTGGTTTGTTCCGCCGCTATTTCTGGTGGCCTTCTCTCAACAAAGATGTGTCGGAGTTTGTCTCAGCCTGCTCCACATGTGCTCGTGGAAAGAACCTTCACCGCCCTCCAGCTGGTCTCCTGCAACCTCTCTCTGTCCCTAACCGGCCTTGGTCGCATATTGCCCTGGATTTTGTCACTGGCCTTCCTGTCTCCGAAAATAAGACAGTTATACTGACAATCATCGACAGGTTTTCCAAAGCCTGCCACTTAATCCCTCTCAACAAGCTTCCATCTGCTGCTGTTACTGCTCGCCTCTTGTTTTCACATGTATTCAAACTTCACGGCATCCCCTTAGAAATTCTGTCAGACCGGGGTCCTCAATTTGTTTCTCGGGTCTGGGGAGACTTTTGCTCTATCTTGGGAGCCAAACCCCGCCTCAGTTCAGGGTTTCATCCCCAGACCAATGGGCAATGTGAGAGACTGAACCAGGAACTGGAAAACGCACTTCGTTGCGTCTGTTCCAACAACCCCTCCTCCTGGTGTACATATTTACAGTGGGTTGAGTATGCCCATAATTCTCACATTTCTGCTGCCTCTGGGTTGTCCCCTTTCGAAGCCTCTCTTGGCTATCAGCCATCCCTCATCCCCTCTTCTTTTCCAGACGCCATCATCCCCTCTGTGAAGGACCACATGAAGGCTTGCCGCCGGATCTGGGACCAGACCAGAGCTGCCCTGAACCGTACCGCTGCTCTCAACAAGAAGATCGCTGACCGCAAGCGTGTGCCTGCTCCAGTCTATTCCCCTGGGCAACAGGTCTGGGCAACAGGTCTGGGCAACAGGTCAAACTGTCTCCTAGGTTTTTGGGCCCTTTTCCTGTCCAAGCTGTTATCAGTCCTTCCACTGTTCGTCTGAGGCTCCCTTCTCACCTTCGGGTCCATCCCGTTTTTCATGTTTCCCAAGTCAAGCCTGTGTCTTTCAGCCCGTTGTGCCCTCCGTCCAGACCCCCTCCACCCGCCCGGGTCGTTGACGGCCACCCTGCCTTCACTGTGCGCCGCATTGTGGATGTCCGCCCCCGGGGTCGGGGTTGCTTTGAGGGGTTGATTTGGAGGGTTATGGTCCGGAGCAGCGGTCCTGGGTTCCGCGCTCCTTCATTCTGGATCCCACGCTCATCTCTGACTTTGAGCGCCGTTCGGCGTCTTCTTCTACTCGTCCGCCAGGTGGCGTCCCTTGAGGGGGGGGGTACTGTTGGGCTCACTGGATTGTGTGCTGAGCTGTGCTAGGGTTCTTTCTTACCTTTTCCTCCTTAGACTCCAGTCCTGACGAGCCTCCAGCTGGTTCCAATTGGACGCAATCAGGGAGCAGTATTTAGAGGAGTGGATTCCCTGGGACGGACGCCAGTCGGTTAAAGTTCCACACAGTGGTAACCTACCTGCTAGCTCTCCTAAGACTGAACAAGATAGTTTAGGCTTAAGCTTACCTCCGTGTCCTCCTTCTCTCTCCTAGAAGCCTTGCTGTTTCCTAGCCGGTCCTCCTCCCAGTCTTCCTGGATCCTTCCCTCCACTGCTCACCTGCCTGTCCACCCTCTGGAGCTCTCAGGTAGAAGCCCTCCATCTCCGCCAAAGACTCAATCTCTGTGGGCTCATCCAACCTCCCCTCCAGCTGCTCCGCTCTCCAAGAACTGTAAGGAATCAGCATCTTCTCTAAATAACTCAGATCCTCCTGCCTGCATCTAACTTATATCTCTCTCCGCGCAGTTCCAGATGAAGCCGCAGTAATCCGAACCACCACGCCAGGCTGAACTTAACTCTGTAAAACTTTTCAATAAACAATCTAAAAACTGCTTCCACTCGCATTGTGTCTGCGCCAGAGTTTACCTTTGAATC